CAAAACAATGGGTAGCTAATTTATTGTATACATATATTTTCCTAATAATGACTATTCTAAAGGTCTAAGGAGATAGATACTCTGGAGCTTAATAACAAATGTAAATATTCTTTCAATATGATAGTAAAGTGCATTTGTTTTCACAGATTTTTTAAATGGAGACTTTAGTTACTAACTCTAGAAAAAATATTTAATGCTCATTCAAAGGTGATACATTTATTCTAGAAGAAAATGTGGACATGGAGGACAAAAGTGACAAAGAAAATAAATTATGTGTAAAATCCAAATGCATATTAATTAGGTAACATAGTAGTAATAACATTTTAAATTTCTAAATATATTTATTTTAAAATTCCAGAATGCAAATATGGCATAACAATAAAATTTAAAGGGCAACCAACAAATTTTACTCCATTAAATGCTTAGAGTACCAATTCTTTAGACTTTAATGAGTAAAGAATGTATGTTATAAAAATTGAGGATTCTGATACAAACTATTAAATGATATTATTTTAGCAAGTACTTATGGAAAAAGGCACAAATAAAAATTGAAAGGTCCATGCAGGAGGCTGGAATGCAGAAGCCAACCAGGAAGCCCACCTGGGGGCAGGAATGCAGATACCTATCTGGAGGATTCAGACAATGAGCCTCCCCTCACCCCCTATGAGTCTCTTCTCAGACAAAGAACCCCTACCTGCCCCAGGAACCTTTTAGAGCCCTACAAACTTTTCCCACCATATGAGCCCAACTTCCCACCTGACCCCTCCTTACCCTATAAAACCCTGCTTCCCCCTAACAACAGTGCATGGCTTCACTGACCCCCACCTTGGGTGTGTGAGGTCTGCCCCAGGGCGAAATAAACTTTCCCTCCCTTTGAGAAATGTAGCCTGGCTCTCCTTTTCTTTACCGCGCTGAATCTTTCAAAAATAATGTGAGAAAAAACAAAAAGGGAGTTCCAAGATATGGTAGTGTTCTTCCCAAAGTAAATGATATATTTTTTAAAGATTTAATTATTTATTTATACAAAAGACCACTTACAGTCAGAAGCACGGGAGGGTGAGGGAACTCACCAGAGTCAGAGCAGGGAGCAGAGCAGCAGAAGGACCGAGGTACACTGCTGAGGGGAGCAGCAGGCGGCAGGAGAGGTCTGCGCGCCATGTGGGACCCTAGCCCAGTGGCCGACTATCCAGCCAGCTATCCAGCTGGCGCTGCAGAGGATGCGGGCAGCTTCGCAGCCCAGAGCTCAACTGCTGCACCACCAGGGGAGGCCCCCCAAAGTAAATGATAATTACACTATATTTAACAGTTTTATCTATGTATTTACCAATATACATTATATAATTTAAAAATTAGGTTAACTATAAATAGATACATTTTCAATGGAAATATATACTGTTTTTATATAAAACAGTTATTTGATGAATAATGAATTAATCTTTTACAAAAATGTAAAGCATGATGAAAGCAAAATAATGAAAAAATATACCTTCCAAAACAAACCTGTAGAAAAAAAATCATTGGTGGAAATAATGAGCAGGTTTCAGAATGCTGAATACAGTATCAATGCCATTAGCAATACTTTTAAATCTGTATGTAACTTCTAAGTTGAATATAGATTTGAGAAAAATACACTGAACAATCATAAATGGATATTTAAGCAAATGCTGTGCACACAGTATAAATCCACATATAAATATAATTTCACAAATATGCACTATATAGTTCAAGCATATTATTATAAAATGTATAGATTTGTGGTGTCACTCCAAGAGTCATGTATCACCTTTGTCTTTTTATTTTTTAAAGATTTATTCATTTATTTATACAAGAACCGGGGTACAGGTCAGATGCGTGGGAGGGTGAGAGGATTCACCAGAGACAGAGCAGGGAACAGAACAGGCAGACTGATGAAATACACTGCTGAGGGGAGCAGCGGGCAAGACAGGAGAGGTCTGCTGTGTCATGTGGGACCCTCACTCGCAGGCCAGGATTGAACCAGCACTTCAGAGGCTGCGGACAGCTTCACAGCACTGCACTCAACCACTTGTGCCACCAGGGGAGGCTCTGTCACCTTTGTCTTGAATTCTTGCAATGTGGACACTCAAATTAAATAGAGATAAATACAATTTACAGATTGATATTTCAGTCACACTAGACATTTTAAACCATATTTAGAGATATAAGACATTTCCAGCTTTACAGAAAATCCTCTAACTGGAATTTACCTAAAATAGAAATCAATAAACACAAACATGTATTCCTTACATGGTTTTGAATATAGTAATACCTTTCCATTTTTCATATGAAACATAGACATGACCAGATGAATGTTCAGAATCATACAAATTAGAGAGAAATACACAAGTGACAATGTCTTGTGAAATATTGTTTGCTTTAAATCATACACTGTCAATAATAGCAAAGGCAGCAATTGAACATGCATCAAAGGAACTGTAAATGTAAAAGTCAGAATTAGGAGAAATGACTCCAGAAAAAGTAGAGGAGAGAAAACAAAGAGCACACACATGAAAAAGAACAAATTATTGTTAAAGAACATCAAAAAACCAAATATATTTTTATCGTAAAGACTTAGTAAAAGTATAATAAACCATTGAGAAAACTATAGAGAAGATATAAGTCCATTATATATTAATTAAACATGGAGATATATAAAGGTTTTTACTGATAAATACTAGGTAAGAAATCAATATTAAGTGATTTCCAGTTAAATATTAAGTAGTTACAAACATAATCCCAGAATTTTTTTGACAACTTTATTGAGATGTATTTACAAAACATAAAATTCATCCTCGAAGTGCATAAGACAAAGATATTTAGCAAAGTCAGAGTTTGCAAACTTCATTACCCATAACACTCACAATGCTATTATCACTTCAAAAAGAAACAGGGAACCAATAGGTGGCCAGATCCTTTTCCAGCATCCTCTCTGCTGGAGACCAGCTCCAGCTAGAAGTCGTGTCATGGATCTCAGAAAGGAGAGGACGGAGTCTGTGAAACCTTTTCTCTTTCTTGGAGGGCTTAGGGGAAGTGGAGCTGTTATAGGGCAGCCCCGATATTGAGCGGGTTGCCTGGCTGTGGGTCCTCACCCGCGCGCTTAAAAAGGACTTATTAATACTCCACTACAGGCATACACAAAAGGTTAATAAAAGGTTTATTTACAAGGCATGGAATTACAAGGTATGGAATTATTTTATTTACAAGGTATGGAATTAGCTTTAGGGCATCCTTTTCCCCCTAACAGAGCAAGGTAAAAGTGAGGAAGACACAGACACCTTATTTCGTGCAAGTATTTCCTGCTGAGGGTCTCAGCGGGTCTTTATACCTTAAGGCTAGTGGTGGGATTACATCAGTGTAAGCACTGAGGCAGTACAGAAACAATCAATACATATTTTCTCACGAACATGCAAAGACTCCCTAGGTCTCACACCTAAAGGGCAATTCTCTGGTAACCTTAAGAGCAATTAGTTTCCTAGGTACAGCTCATTTACTAACATGATCATTCATGTATGACAGCACAACATTTGTCAGCAATTAAACTTTTCCAGTTACAAAGTGGGTGTAAAATTCCTATTCTATATTCAATTATTAAAATCAATCTATTTCCTAGCACTCAATTAACTTGGTTAATATATTGATTACTTCAAAGTGGTCTGAAACAACCACTCAAATTTAAGTAAGTTCTACTGAAGTCTAACTCCTAACTAGAAATTCCTAACCTCCACATGGCCTGTGAACTATTGACCTCTTGCAAACACTAGGAAATGTACTGCTGGTGCAAACATGCACCCCCGTGTCAGGCTATGGATTCCAAGCACAGTTGGTCCAGGGCAGCTTCTTCTCCATAGTTTTCAGGGCCAGGACTTTTCTTTCCTAACTATACCTTTTGTATTATTTACTTTCTATGATACTAATTCAGGTGCAAGAATAACAAATCAATTAACATCTAGGTTGAATTGGGTTTTCATATGCCAATTAACGACTAACTTCTGCATTAACCAAGAACAAAGGGAGAGCTTTAGCAGGCTTTGCCATGGAGACTCCCTAGCTCAGATCATCTTTGAGAAGTGCAAGAACTTCCTTCTTTTGGGAAGTACAACTTCCCTCTTCTGGGGAGCACAAGAACTCCCGCTTCTCTGGAGTCTCTCCCAATGCCCAGACCATGTCAAGAGACAGCATGGAAGCTCAGCCTGCCGCACCTCTCTTTCCTGGGCAACCCCCAAGCCATATTCTGTACCCATGAGTTTGCCATTATATATAAATGAACTCACACAATGATCTTTTTGAAGGTTGAATGCCACAACGAAATGTTGAACAAAAAAGTCATACACAAAAGTAATGATATCTGTACTTTTTGAACATAGTGTGTTTCAATAATTATTTTGAAAAAATGTCATTAGAATAAAAAACAAAATCAATTAGAAGACTTATTTCTTGAAATAAAAAGTTAAGCAAATAAATCCAAACTTAGTTTTTTTTTTGTTTGTTTCAATTTAAAGCTTATGCTTGCAAGAGTATATATATGGATCTTCACAATTATCTGCATAATATTTAGATTGTAGCATAACACAGTGATTGTTAGCAGATGATGATTCTTTTATCCTGTAATAAAGAAAAATGCACAATTCTGGTGTTACATAATGTCAGGGCAAACCAAGAAACAATAGCATTTCTTCTGATTGCAATACAAATATATTGTGAAAATGGATGAAAACAATTTTCATAGAATATTTGTAAGAGATGGGAGTTAGATAAACTGAGCTGTCCTTTCTTCAATATTCATCAAGATTCCACTCATATTCAACACCATTCTTCATGTCTATAATTTAAATCAAATTCACTAATATCAACTTCTTCTATTCCATTTCATACCTTTATTTCTTAAGTTCCTTCTTCTCTTTCTTCTCTTAAGTTCTGTAACAATGGGGAAAACCAAGAAACAATAGCATTTTAAACCCTATTATCATATTATGTAATAATACTTACTCTGTGTGGGAAGTTGACCCATTTACAAATGTCCATGGCTGATCGCTGCCGTTACGGTAGACTCCAATCCATGACGAAACTGATATGGAGTTCATAAATTTCTATTCAAACATAAAGAATTTTCATTACATAAGAATGATAAAAGACTTCATTAAAAAATACACAAGTAATATGTTTTTTCCTAAGATCCTACATTTTAAGAAGGAAGGAGATTCCAATCTATCACCAGATACATGTAGTGTGCTGAAAATTACCGTGCATAGTGCCACAAACTCTCACCAGCACATCGTCATTGCATAACATGAGCTTCTAAACATTTATACTTAGCAACTTCACTCTTCTTGTTTTGTGAACAAGGAAAATCTGACCTAGGCTTGCGGCCAGTCAGCACAAACTTACAAGAGGAGGAGCCATTGCCCCCTGAGGTGAGGGGTCCTGTGCAACAACAGCAGGGCAGCCTGACAAGGGAGATGCATCAGGACATGACAACAGTCAGCAGCTGGGACAGGCTACTCCTCCCACCACTAGGGACACAAGAACAGGGCTGGGAGGGTAGGGATGGGAAAAGTAAGGGGACCCTATGCCTGAGAATAGAGAACCCAGGAGTTTCTTTATCTCTGAGCAGGTGACACGCACACCCCACCCCTGACAAATGGGTTTTAAAATGTTTTATCATAAAACTCATCAGTGAAAATTAGCAAACAGCAGATAAATGCAATATGCATATGAATTACCAAGGAATTAGAGGGGAGAGATGAGACAGAAACAAAGGTATATACCATATGATTACATTTAGGTTCATAAACAAGAAAAGAGATCTACAAAATTAAAAGTCAAGTCAGTGGTTAAATAATAGACAGCAGGAGTGAAGAGAGGGCAGACAGGGTATCTGGGGTGCACTCGGGGCTGGGACCTACTCAGGATCTGCTCTGCAGATACAATTTTCATTCACTTGGTGATTAATCTGCCAATCACAATATGCTCCCCTTTTTTGATGTGTATTAAACAGCAATCTTTATTTAATATATATACACATGCCTATACATATGTATATACATATATACATATTATATATGTGCACATAATATACATAATATATACATATATTGGAAATATGCATGAGTTGTATAAATATAAAATTGACCTGAATAAGTCTTCAATAAAGTGGTTGGGACACTGAACTTCTTACCATTTCTTCCTCGGTGTCTATGTAGAGCAGCTGAGAGTTGTTACTCTGACAGGCCGTCACACTCTCCTTCCAGGTTTTTTGCTCAGCACTAAAGTAATAGCAGTGGTTGGAGTACGTAAACCACCCCTTTGGACAAGGGCCACAATGACATGCTGAAGAGAGATTATAAATTATTACCTAAAACTATTTGGGTTAATAAAATAATACACATCCTAGACATGCTGAGATGAACAATCAGGTACATAACACATGCAAATATCTCAAAGCTGGTGCATACAACACACCCTCACCAAGAAAGGGCAGCTTCTCAGGCTATAATGTATGTGTCCATATGAACCAAACTTTCACAAAAATTATCCACTGTATGTCCTGACAAAGAGTAAATAAAGTCATTTTTTAATAGTAAAATTGTTTATTTATATAATAGAAGGACATGAGCCAATTGGCCACATGGGTCAGAAGTTCTAAGTGAATTTTATTCCTGTTTTGGATATAATTAACCCCCTCCTATTATCATTATACATGAACATGTATTATTTGATTTTATAATGTATGTTCTAACAGAAAATTAGTTACCATTATTACCTAGTCTAACATATATACATAATATATACATAAACTTTACTAACATCAGAATTTTGAATTCATTGTGTACCTTTCTGGCTCTCTGTTACTGTGGAGGAAACTTTCTTCTCTGGATCTTCAGTAGGAGCTAGAAAAAATAAAATAAATATTATCAAATTTATTAGTGTTTTAAGGAAATACTAATCAATGTAATATTTCTAAGTTAGAAATGTTGTATTTTGGTAGATGTATAGTAAATATATAATAAAGTTGACTTTCCCTGACAATTAATAAAAGCATAAAACTTTGCGAAAACATCACAAAAATTTAGATTCAAATTTCACCATCTCTTACAGTATGTAGTCACCAAATTTCAAAAATTATTTCAATGTTTTCAATAGAGTATTTCAGTCTCCAAAAGTGTGACTTTGAATCATGACATTTGAATCTACACAAAATAATCTCTACAATCATTCTTATATTTGTACTTTTGGGAATTGAGATTAACCATTCAACATTCAATTAAAACAATACATTATAATAATAGTTCTATTCCTTCATATTATGAAATATTTAAAAGCACTGACAATCATTAAGTGAAACGTTCCATTACAATCCTTCATTAATTTACCTACGGGAAATTTAATCCACACTGGCACAATAATGCATATCAAGACAAGGCAGGTGAGTCCCAAGATCCCAGCAATGCACTTCTCTGGAGGTGCTGCTAAGCCTGCAGGGAGAGAAATAGAAATGAAGAGAAAGGACAGTTGGAGACAGGTGTTCAGTTTACACACAACAAAATCTACATGCACAGGGAGTCACATGTATAAATTAGACTCAAGACCTCTATCTCCCACTGGAATCTTTTCCTCAGAATATGTCATTGCTTTGTTTAGTAAAAAAAACACCTATGAATTGTCGTTTGTCAACAATTATATATTATAACAATACCTGGAAAAAATAGCCATCAGTTTTTCTACTAGAATACCATACTCCAGTGACAAATTCTGAGCCTCACAAATGAAAAACATGTCAGTTTATTCCCTATTCTTTGTGCACCTCTACTCCTCTGCATCTCCCAGAACAGTTGTGCTGTGTGTGTGTCTACTCAGTGTTTTACCTTTGAGGTGACAGGACTTGCCATTCTCCTGAGGATCCCGAGCAGCATTGTGCAGACTTAATTCTGCGTAGGTTACTCCCTGCTCCATTCCAGTAGTGGAGCTTTTACTCTCTTTAGGTTTCACTTGCGGCCTTTTTGAGACCTTTGCCAACTTCAGCTCTGCATAGGTGACTCTTTGCTCGTTCATCTCTGCTGCTCTGTAAAGTTAGGAAATGTGCTCTGTGATAAATGCTTCTCAGTCTTTAATAAAGGGTGCACAGGACCAGATCACTGTGGGCAGAGCATTGGTTGAGTGATAGACTCATATTGCAGTTGAACAACACACGTCTGGTCTAAACATGTCTGATTGAAACTTCCAGAAGATCCTATAACTATACAAGTTAATGAAGCTTGCCTTAGTTTAGCAAGTAATTGCGATCAATTAAAAAAAATCATAATTTTAGTAATTCAGTCAATAGACTGCAGTGAGTGGGATCTAGAATTAATCCTGACTTTGATACTGAGTATCATCTTTTAATTTTAACTCAATAAAAAAGAAAAAGGAAACAAAATAAAAAGTTATATAGAGTCTTTCAATTCATATTTTGTTTACTAATCTAAAATGAAAATAGGAATATCTAAGATATAACACATGTAAGTCATGATACTCAATCTGACTTTTGTAAGCTGTCAATAATAATACATTTCTTATTTTAATTATTATTTTGATACAACCACCATATTTTTCCTGTTTCATAGCATTTACACCATGTAACCTAATTATTATATTAATATTAATACAACATTAATATTAATTAATATTAATATTAATATAATATTAAGGAATAGAACTATTATTTTAATGTAGTTTGTTTATTGGTGTGGTATTTCTTGTACAATACTTTGTTTATTTTAAAGTATTTTGTATACTTTTAAATTCAAAATAGCATTTTTTGGAAGCTGTCTCATCTTGATTTCTATTAACATCAAAACCTTTTATATTGACTCTAAGAATATAGATGAGGAATTTCCCATGACCTTCACAATGGAATGAATTCATTTTAAGTGTCTAATTTAAAAGATTGAGTTAAATGACAAAAATAGAATTATATCTGTATTGATTATGAAATCCAAAATAAAATCTTCTTTGGCATGATCTGGTGAAATTTCAAGTTAAATAGCATTGATTTACAAATCTAATTATGCATGGGTGTTATATCCTTGACTAATTCTCCACTGAAAAGAATTCAAGTATTTTGAGAAATCCTCAAAATATTTCACATTCTTCTTGTGTTTTACCTGAATTATTCAAATAAAAACACCAATGTTCTCTTTGATTTGATTGCATATGAACTGTATATCAATTGCCTCACATCTAACCTTCATAATCTTCCACTAAAAGAGACAGATCAGCAGAGAGAGAGGAGAGGAGCAACACATACCTTCTGTTGGCAAGAAGTTGTGCATCCTTGAGTGAAGGAGGAGACACCTCCATACTGATTTTCACAGAGACTGGTCCACAGAGAATCCTACCAGCAGTGCAAGAGGGTTCCCTCTTCTCCACATCCTCACCAGCACTTGTTGTTTCTGATCTGTGATCTGTGATTTAGAACTGCCCTGTGAAGTTTCAGAGTGAAGCAAGCGTGGAAAAAGTAGATTTCTCATGAATGTGTCACTAGCAGTTTGAACAAGAAATTGTTACACTTGGGCTATTTTGAAGACACTTCACCTCATCACACACCTGCAGACTATAGGAGATGATAGGTTTATACTGTGTCATGTACTTTTTACGTTTTCAAATGCCTCTGAAATATATCAGGGAATAAAAGAGTTGAACACCCATACTTGTAATTTGTTTCCAAAGCACTCAGAAATATTTAACACTTAGCTCTTGTTAAGACAATTTTAGATGTTTAAATTCTACTATAAAGCAAGATTCATAAATCTTGACATTGTATACTTTCCCCTGTCTTTATTATATCATTTATATTATCATGGGAAAAATAATAATTATTCCTTTATCAATGGGTGTTTGTCACTAATTATTCCAAAAAAATCCCTACATTTTCAAATTTTCTATAACTATAACAAAAATCAATACCAACTTTTCTTCTCAACATCTCTTCTCCAGTCTGAAAATTTCTGCATTCAATTTTATTCTTTATAAATAAGTTATTTAGATTTCCACTGATTAAAAAATAGTAAACCATATAATCTTTCTAGTGACTGAAATATTACCAGCATCACTCATTCATCCTCCAATCATAATTGCGTTTTAATGGGAGTATTTGTTGTGAATGATAAAAACCTAGGGATACTTTACTTATGTAAGGGAATTACAAAGGTAACTTTCAAAAAATTCACAGAACCAAAAATTGGGGAGAGCAGAAAAAATAGACAATTAAAACACAGTGTGAAGGTATATGACAAAATGATCATTATCACAGACATTCAAATCAAGGTCACAAAAAGATCCCACCTGATGCCTGTGAGAGCTCCATCCAAAAGATCAGAAACAACAAGTGCTGTTGAGAATGAAATCTATGGTCAAACAATATAAAACCTCAAAAATTACTCAAAATAATAAGAGTAGCTATACTTTGCTCTTTATGAAATATATAGAAATAGTCTTACAGGTGTATGCATCCAATGTGTATATATATATATATACAAACATATGTATGCATATATAATTTGTGACTGTTTCTAGTTGTGAGAATATCCAGTGACCTAAGAAAGGTAGATGAATTGGGACTCAATTAGAATCAAAGAATGCCCTTTTCAGGTTAAGTCTCAGCGCTATCACACAATCACAGCTGCAGCCTGAGTTGCATCCCCCAGCCATGGAGCTGACCAGCATGGTGCAGCACATCTCTCCTTCTCACCTGCTGCTCCCCTCAACAGTGTAGATCCACCTGTTTTGCTCCCCACTTTGTCTCAGATAAATCCTCTCACATCTGCTCTTCTGGCCTACACCACAGTTCTTGCATGCATAAATATAAAAACAATTTTTTAAGATTTTATTTTTATTCATTTATGTATTTTTTACTGAACATAGTGTATTTCAATAATTATTTTCAAAAAGTCAGGTGATGGAACTGAAGCATAGGTTTTCAGGAAAAATCAATGTGATTTAGTGAGTGTTTATATGGCAGAATTGTTTTTCTTTTCTTTTTTTATTTTTAAAGATTTATTTATTTATGCATATAAGAGCTGGGGTACAAGCCAGAGATGCAGGGGGTGAGAGGATTCATCAGAGACAGAGTGGGGAGCAGAACAGGCGACTAACTGAAATACACTGCTGAGGGGAGCAGTGGGTAAGACAGGAGAGGTCTGCTTCCCCATGTGGGTTGCTCTCTAGCCAGCCGGGGATCCAACTCATGCTACAGAGGCTGTGGATTGCTTCATAGTGTAGTGCTAAACCCCTTGTGCAACCAGGGAGCCCTTAGAATTGTTTTTCTTTTTTTTTTCTTTTTTTTTTTTTTTAAAGATTTATTTATTTATTTATACAAGCACTGGGTAGAGTCAGAAGCACGGGAGGGTGAGAGAATTCACCAGAGCCAGAGCGGGGAGCAGAGCAGGCAGAAGGACCGAAGTACACTGCTGAGGGAGGCAGCGGGTGGAGGAGAGGTCTGCGCGCCATGTGGGACCTCCTCCAGTGGCAGGGGAGCAGCTGGGGATCGAACCGGTGCTGCTGAGGCTGCGGGCAGCTTCGCAACCCAGCGCTCAACTGTTGCGCCACCAGGGAGGCCCAGAATTGTTTTTCTTAATTTTTGTTGTGGGAGGAAGATCAGGGTGAGGCCTAAGTTGGTGGAAAGGGTGAGGTATGAAAGAATTCACCCAAGACAGAGTTACAAAAAGCTTTTCACAAGCTTCATAACTTGGGGCGCCAGTTTGCACCAGTTACCTGCTGAGATGCCTGGTGTCTGGCACTGGACTTGGTCATGGAAACATGTTCTGTTTTCTGCTTTCTGCATTTCTGGAACTGGGCCTGTTTTTCTGGTCATGGTGGTCGGTTTCATGGCATTTCTGGTCATGGTGGTTGGTTTTGTGGCCTTGTCCCCAAGGCAGGCTTATCTATCCCCTTAGCTATTCAAGTCTCCCAGACCTGCCTGCTGGGCCAGGAGTGGGAGTTTAGTTTTTAACTTCACTAAACTCTAACCTGATGCTCTTCAAGTGTTTTTCAAATAATTTGCAGATAACTGTAAATTACATTTATAAGATACTATTTTCATCATATCTTATAAAAAAGGAATGTTAGCCAGAAAAGTCATGGGGTTAATAGGGTGCAGTTAGAGTTACATTCAAATGATCTGGTTTCATGGTTCATGTCCTAAATTGTTTAAAATTATATTTTATATTTATTTTGTTATATTGTTGTTCAATTTTTGGATGATATTTGCTTTCTCCCTTCAGGGACAGTCCCTGTAGTTTTTCAACACCACAACACCCGTGGGCCATCACTATGGTCTCCGTGATCTTCCCTCCCTAGTTGTGACCCTCTGTCATTCCCCCACTGTGTGCCTCTGGTCTATGCCCAGACTTCATACCACGATGATTCCTCCCCATTTGTTTGGTGATCCAGGTCCCTGGATAGAGCCTCGGTATGACTGTACCAGCACACAAGGTAACAAGAATTTAATTTTTTTAAAGATTTATTTATTTATATTTTATACAAGAACCGGGACACAGGCCAGATGGTGGGAGGGTGAGATGATTCACCAGAGACAGAGAGGGGAACAGAACAGGCAAAAGGACTGAAATACACTGCAGAGGAGAGCAGCAGGCAAGACAGAAGAGATCTGCTTTGGCATGTGGGATTCTCGCCGGCCGCCGGGTTCGAACCTGTGCTGCAGAGGCTGCGGACAGCTTCACAGTGCTGCACTCAACAGCCTGTGCCACCAGGGAGGCCCCTCAAAAGAATTTTCAACAAAAGGAAATAATTACCTTGATGGGAAATGAAGGAACTACTATTTTTTTCCATTTTCCTTTTTTTTTTTTTTCTTTTTACAAATGCATCTTTCTCACAAAATATAATGACAAACCCATTCCTATGGCTATTGTAGTAGATAAGATTATTTTTCAGTGAGTCCACATCCTCCCCTCTGAATACCGGAGTAGATCTTGTTGATAGATAATCAGTGAATGTTTAACTATGTATTTATCTTGACAATATCAGTTGAATGGGAAGGTGACAGCCTGAGTCCTGAGCCCAGACAGGCATAGCACATTTCTACCTGTCCCTCAGACAGCTGCTACTCTCTGCTGTGAGAAGGTCATATACCTGGTAGCTCAGTGCTGAGAGAGTAAAATACATTTCAACAAACCTAATCTGAGCTGACTCTGTGGTCTGAAGTCAAGCTCATACCTGCCCAGCTTATATCAACTGAAGCAGTCAAAGCACATGTGGGTGAATGAGACATAAACACCTATTTTTAAATGTCAGTGCAATTTTGGGCTGTTTACTACCCAAATTCAACAATTAGCTATAGCTATAACTTATAAATTAGATAAAATGAATCATGATTAATTATATATTGTCTATGCACTTTTATGGGGATCTATAGAAAATGCTATATTCAAAGAAATAAAGGTATATAAAATATTTATTTATTTTGTAAATGGTAATCAGCTAGGTCATCTCTTCTGGTTGTAATAGAATTACAGCATAAATATTTCTGCATCATTATTAAATTATGGAATTTTCCCAGTAACTAGCTTTGTGGCCATGTAAATGTTCTTAGCTTTTCAAATCTTTTTGTTAATTTATATTTTTTGTTTCTCATAAAAGTGTTTTTCTAAGCATGGAATAAAACGTGGTAGAGAGGGTGAGAGATAATTTAATAAAACAAAGTAACTTTTAAAATACCTGAATTTCAACAGGGTTAAAAAAGACAATTGAAAAACCGAAAAGACACTGATTATTCGGTGTCATTGAAAGACTGTTTTTTACAGTAGTTCTAAGTTCTCTTCAGGATAGTCCCATTTGATTCATATTGATAGATCTCTCTTGATCATTTTTCCAAATATTAACTGGTGGTTTCACATTTTTCTGTTTCTCATGCATTTTGTCTGAGTATAGCACCCCAAGTTCTCTTTCTCCCTCTCTCCATTTATTCTTTATGGGCATCTACGCTCAGCCATGATCAGCGTGGTAGATTTGGCACATTGGCCACTCAACACCTATTCAAAATAATGAAACTCTGTTAAGAGATGTGAACACTACCTGTGAAATTGCCTATCACTACCTAATGTGAATCTAATCATGATAATATTTCACTTGGACAGATTCAGAAGGTAAATATTGGTTCCATTTGTTCCAGGGCAGGGAACCCCCAAATTTGGCTGCTTTAAATAGGTTCTGTCATCCACTGCATACAGACAAAATATATTCTAAAGCATAAGACAGTCAATACAAAAGAACTTTAATACAATTTGCATGCAATAAAGAGAAGAAAAGAATACAGTTTTCAAATCAAGCACCCAAAGTTACCCAATCCTTGAAGGTAAGTGCCTACTCAACAGAGTGGCACAAAGCAGGGCTGCTGAGACCCAAAAGCCTGCCACAATCTTCCCCTAGGGTGGGCACCACAGGAAAGGAGCAGAAGGGGCCATGCAAGTCTGGATGGAAAAGAACAAAGTCAAAATCAAAGTAAAGTCTGCCATTGATAGGCTCCCCATGGTCTCTCATCCACATCTGTACAAGTATACTCATCCTTCTGAGTCACCCATACCCTGTTACAAGTCCAAGGCCAAGCTTTTTCACATGTCTCTGCTCCTTGTGCCTCCTCCAGGGCTTCTTGATCTCTCCTCCCTTGTCCCAGTCTTCTGTTTAGCTTCTCCTCCATGCCCAGCTCTTCCCTTCTTAGGGTGGGGCAGGGAGCTTGGGATTACCCCTTTCCCTGGGTATTACCCTGATACACATTCTCCAAGGGAGTGGGCAGAACCAGAGTTTCTTTTTTTTTTTTCTAATTTTTTAAAGGTTTATTTATTTATGCATACAAGTACTGGGGTACAGGGCAGAGGTGTGGGAGGTGAGAGGATTCACCAGAGACAGAGTGGGGAACAGAACAGGCAGATTGATTGAAACACACTGCTGATGGGAGCAGCTGGCAAGTCAGAAGACATCTGCTGTGCCATGTTGGTGGCTTCCTGGCCAGGGATCGAACTCGTACTGCAGTGGATGGCAATAGCTTCATAGGTTGCATCTTAACCTCTTGTGCCACCAGGGAAGTCCAGAGAACCAGAAGTTTCTTATAGAGCAACTTTGTGGTTGTGGCATGATAACCTGAGTACCAATTCATAAATTAGTACTCTTAAATCCAAATCTGTATTTCATTGTTCTGTTCTGAGATATCAGAGCTAGATCCTTAAACTTTTCTCCCTTGTGGGCACACATGATGTTAAGTTTCTCTGTAATGGACCCTGGGGAGACACTGCAGGGAAGGGGCTCTTCTTCCTGGCTTCCCCGGGGTGGCTTCACTGGCTGAGATGAAGCTGTCAGGGGCCTCATGGAGGATGTGCTGGTGCTCACTTCTGGCCAGCATTATTGGTTAATCTGTCACAGTTTCTTTTTTTTTTTAATACGTCATTTTTCCTTTTTTGCACAATATATGCATTTTCATCTTGGTTATAGTCCCCCTACAATTCCTACTCCCCTGTTTTGATCTTACTCCCTTGTCCCCACACTCCCCAATAGTAAAAGATTTATTTATGATGACTACAATAACTAGGGTGTAGACCAAAGATGCAGGGGTGAGAGGATTCACCAGAGAGAGTGGGGAGCAGAACAGAGGGGTTGACCAAAATGCACTGCTGAGGGAATCAGTAGGCATATAGGAGAGGTCTGCTGTGCCAATTGGGTTGCTCCTGGCTGGGGGATTGAATTATTGCTGCAGTGGCTGGCAATAGATTGATAGTGCTGTCTGTAACTCCTGCACCACCAGAGAGGCCCTGTCACATGTTCTTGCCCTCCAGCCTCTGCCTGCAGATACTCTGACAAGGAGTGTTCCTGCCCCACAAACCAGCCAGAGATCTGTCCGCACCAAATAGTTAATCATTCTTTACATCAAACTTTCCCTGATTTGTGTCTTCTGACTTTTCTATGACTTAAAAACCTTGCTACCATAGGTCATGGAATCTTCATCATCAACAACTTCAAGGGCTAGAACAAATCAAGTAATAAGAAAATAGCATTGGGATTATTCACCTTTGAGATTTGACATTAGAATTTATCATTTACATACAGTTTATTTTAATAAACAACAAAAAAGGCATAATATGTACCTGGGAGTATATCTTCATAATTAGTATGAAGATTTAGAATAAAGTCTATAATGCCAAGGGTAAAACTTCAGTAAACTATGAAGTTTAAGTGGTTATTATGTTTCAATGTGGATTCATCCTCTGTAATAAATGAACTTTTTGGTTACTGATGTTGCTGATGGGGGAGGCTGTGACTGTGTGGGAACACAGGGATGTGGGAAATACCTGCATCGTTTTATTGTGAACCAACAATGTTCTAAAAATGATATCTTTATATAAAATTCTAAGAAAACAACCCAAAGCTAGAAATGTGGACTCTGCAGATGATGAGTGGCATTTTACCAAATTTAGGTAAGCCTTGGTGCCTGAAGCTTACAGATTCAAAGTTTTTTTTCTAAGCAGGAATCAAAAGACACACTTTTCATTTCAAAATCTAAATATGGACAATAATTATCCTTCTCTGAAGATTGTGAAATCCTGAAATATAGAGAATGACATAAAATTAACAACCATACATGTAATATTAATTAATATTAGTTATTAGTTAATATTTTGGTGAAAACAATTTATTTGGGCTAATGATTAACTCTAAGCCTAAATATTTCCAATATAAGTTTCATTGGAACCATTTAGGTAATTATGTTTATAGAGTCATTAACATTTTGTTTTTTATGCTATGATCATTTCCTTTATGGCATCCAAGATAATAGTTCTCAAAAAACTTACAATTTGGAAGAAAAATCTGAGCCCGTTGGCCACACCTGTGAATTATTATAGGTACTCTGGGCAAGATCAATCCATGGCAAAACCTGAAAGGAGCTCAAAAGCTTCTATGAGAAAACAAAAATGAGAACAACTCATCAGAAAATCAATAAACCTGTGGAAGACTGAAAAGACACTATGAGCCGCTAAACATAATTGACATATATAGAATTTCATAATTATTTATATAAAACATAAGAATCTTCAAGCAATCATGTACTTCTAGAAAACAGAGTTCAAAGTTGAAATAAAGCAAAATGTCTTAGAACATACCTTATTCTGAATGATAGTAAGTTAAAAATACATAAAATAATTTCTGTTCGAATTAAAGCAGGGCTTCGAGAAAAGGCATAGCTTTGTCACATAGCACTGATTTGTAATGACCTGGTTATTTTCACTTAATCTTAAAAATAATGCTATATTTAGTCTCCTTGATGTATGGTAAAAAGTTTATTTTTAAAACAGTGTGATCTGAATTTTTGAGAAATATCCATACTGTGTTCCACAGAGCTCGACCAGTCTACATTTGCACCAAAAGTGAATTGATTTACTATATGATGCAGTAATTCTCCTCTTAGATATGTACTCAAAGAATACAAAACAGTAATTTGAAGGGATGCGTTCACTCTTGTGTTCATCACAGCACTGTTTGTAATAATCAAGTTTTGAAAACAACCTAATTGCCCCAAAACAAATGAGTGGAGCAGGAAGTGAAATATATGTACAATGTCTTAAAGATGATATCTTAATATAAAATTCTGAGAAAATAACCAAAAGCTACAATAAAAATTAACTCTTGTCATTCAGAACATAATTGGGAGGGTGGATTATACTAAGCACAGTAAGACAGCAGAAGAAAGGAAGAAAATAAATGATTTAACTTGAAATAAATAGCAAGAAAAAAATTAAAAGATAGGGGTAAAAATAGCCATGCAAATATCTGGAACACAAAGGGCAACACTGAAAAGTTACTAATATAAAATAATATAAACTTACTGTAAAATACACTGTGTAAAGCATGGGATTGGCTTAAAATAGAATAATCAGATTAAAAAAACAGATTAGAAAGTGCACAAGTACGGCCTCCCCTGGTGGCGCAGCAGTTGAGCGCTAGGCTGAGAAGCTGCCTGCAGTCTCTGAGCGCTGGTTTGATCCCCGGCGGCCTGGGAGGGTCTCACATGGCATGACAAACCTCTCCTGCAGCACCCGCTTCTCCCCTTAGCAGTGTACATCGGTCCGTCTGCCTGTTCTGCTCCCCTCTCTGGCTCTGGTGAATCCTCTCACCCTCCTGTGCTTCTGACTGTACCCAGTGCTTGTATAAATAAATAAATAAATCTTAAAAAAAATAAAGTGCACAAGTATATGCACAAATACATAATATGCAAGTTTCAACAAAGATGCAGACTCATTAAGTGAAGAAAGCAATTCTTTCCAATCAATGCTGTGGAAATAGCTGACTTTCAGTGGGAAAAATGACAAATAAATGATCATAATTTTATCCATACTTCATGCTATATATAAAAATAAGCTCAATAGTTTGCACAGCAAACTGTAAACTTCAAGAATATATATTACAAAAAAAAAAAGAATGCCCTAATGCCCTTGGCATAGACAGAATTTTTTTAGATACAAAACCAAAAAATGATCCATAAAAGAATACACTGATGATGTGTGTAGTTAATAAAAATAAAATATCTCTGATCTTTCCAAGGAAAAGATAAATCACAAGAGTTGGAGAAAATATTTGCAAATGATGTATATATATATATATATATATATATATTTGCAAATGATATATATAATATATATATATATAAAGACTTGCTTCCAGGTCATATAAAGAATTCAAAATGCAAAATTAATACATTAATAGATTCTGGTCATTAAAGAATTACAATATTAAAGCAAAAATGTTAAGTCACAGTCAAAAAAATGTTCCTTACAGCTCATGAGATAAAAAGATATCATATCTATAATATAACAAGAGCTCTAGGCAGGAAAATACAGACACCATGTAGGAGAGAAGGGCAAACAGCACTTTATAGAATAATTTAGCACTGTGGTCTAATAATTTAGACCACAAAAGTGCATTCATTTTAATTGTAATCAGGAAAATGGCAAATAATATCATAATGATACTGTTAAATAAGCATCAGACATTATATTAAAATTCCCTAAAGTACAATGCTGTGGATAAAAGGGCCATTAAGTAAAATATATACTTTCACAATTTTTTTAAAACCCTGGGATAATTAAATAAATTAAGAAATACCCATAGTTATGACCCAGCAAAATAATTTGCTGCATTTGATGCAACATAAAATATTTATATAGAGATAAATTATAATTATATTTACAGATTACTGTAGTATAATAGATAATAGCGTGTTATCAAAATATAATGTATTATATACTACACATTTATACCTAATAGGCACATTTTGCAAATGCAATGTAATATGTAGATAAAAGGTCATACAGGAGGATTTTCATAAAACAATATTTCATAACACCCACAAATTAAATTTCTGAGTAGACATGTCATATTAGTATATTATAGCAGTAATAATTAACAAGTTGCAAATAAGTGTGAAATTATGGATGAACTACAAATATCAAATGAGCATGAAAAGAAACATATAAAAAGGATTTTTCCATTTATGTAATGCTCAAAATTAAACAAGGATTATTCAAAAAATAACAAAGTGGTTAAGTGAACAGAGAGAAGTGAATAGAGTGCATTCAGGGGGCACTGCTGGGGTTGGGAACTTCTATTTAATTTGCAATTACCTGGGTTTATTTCACTTAATAAATCTGCAAAATCATGAGCTATTTAGTTTCCTTCATGTGTGGTAAAATTGAACAACAAGTTTATGTGAAACAGCATCTATAGAAACTTGGTTTTCTATGAAAAACTAGAATTGAAGTTTATCAAATGTGTATTCACGGCATAAAATAGAAAAACAATATGAAGTCAAACAACAGAATTATTTACAGGATTTAAAATAAAGATACATATATCCACCCAAGTATGGATGCAATCAGTAAGTATATTGTAAAATAATCTTTTAATAAAATATTTGAAAGATTTAAAATCTTACTATTTCTTCCTGATTTTCTGTGTAGAGCAGATGAGAGTTGTTAGAAGCACAGGCAGTTATGCTGTCATTCCAGGTTTTTTTTTCATTACTGATGTGGTAGCAGTTGTTGGAAATTGTTAACCACTCATTTGGACAAGTGCCACAATGGTGTGCTGTGGAAAGATAATGAATTATTATCAAAATGGAAGTTGAATTTTTAATAAAAATCATTTTAAAATGTGCATGAGCATAGACATATACATATATATTATAACATAGTTATGCATCCTCACAGCTGGTACATATAAAAAAGACACACTGACACTAACTCAGAGAAAAGTCAACGCCTCTCTCCTAAGGTATGGGCTTATACAAAGCAAACACACAAGCAAAACTATCTACTTTCTACAAGTTTTGAATATCTAGTAAACAAAAAGCTATCTAACTTATAGCAGAGGGACATTGGAACTAATTGACAACAATGAGTAAGATGATTTTAAATAACTGTTTCTCTATTATTGCATAACATGAACATTTTAATAATCTTTACTTATTTATTACCCAAATTTATAATTCATTTTTTTTACATTTATGAATTACCTAAGGTAGAGAGAAAATATAAAATGTATTAATATCAGAACTTTGAAAATCACTGCATACCTTTTGGGGTCATTCTTGTTAGGGATGAATTGTTCAGCTTTCGTGTTTCAATAACTAGAAAAAAACAACAGCAAAGTAATTGTTATAAATATTAAAGCTGTTCTAAGGAAATTATAACACTTCTTTTTTAATTTGAAATTTGACTTAAATTAGAATGAGCTGCAGTACAATTGATTTTTACCAAGAAAGCAATAATGTATTGAACATTTGGATTAAGCTATTTCAGAAGCCAACAAGATGAAACTATATTATCTCCGGGTTTGGCTTAACAAAGCTCCAGAATGAATTTGTATTTCTCAAAAAGTTCTTTCAATATCCTGAAACATGTTTTGAATTACAAAATTGCAATATGTAAAAAAAAGTTCTCTATACTATTGACATTTTTGAATAAACTTTCCACATTAGGTCTAAACAAACATATTAAAATGAGGGTTCTATTGTTTAATATTATGAAATCTGTAGAGTGTTGATCATCAAGTGAAAGGTTTTCTTATAATCTTTCCAATATTTACTTACAGGCATTACTAATGACTACTGCTACAATACTGAGTATCAAGACAAGGCAAATAATTCCCAGGATCCCAGCAATGAGCTTCTCCGGTGGTGATGGTAAGCCTGCAAGGACAGAAATGGAAACACTCAGAAAGGAGAGATGAAGACAGTTGCTCAGACAGTTTACAGACAAGAGAATCCACATCCACAAGGAATCACATATGTAAACGTGGATCCCAGACCTATGCCTCCCATTGTAACCTTTCTCCCAGCATACACCGTTGCATTTACAGTATATGTAATGACCATGAGTAGTTACTCAAATGACAACAATGCCGGAATAAAATTAGTCTTTATACCTCACATGAGAACCTTGAATTCCAACTTCAAATTCTGATCTTCATAAATGCAAGATAGATGAGCTTCTTCCCTATACATACCCCCACCCCTGCGCTCCATTGTCCATCCCAGAGGTGTTATACTGTGTGTCTATGAAACATTTTACCTTTGCAGTGGTATGTCTTGGCATTCCCCTGAAGATCCTGAGAAGCATTTTGGAAGTCAAATTCTGCATAGGTTATTTCTTGCTGGATTACTGAAATGGAGTTTTCAGTTCCCGAAGGTTTCATTTGCTGTCTTTTTAAATTCTTTGCATGCTTCAGTTCTGCATAGATAACACCCTGGTTATTCATCTTTGCAGCTTGAGCAGAGAATAAACTGTATTTGGTGAGAAGATGCCTGGTGTAGTCAATACGGGCAGAGTGTGGGCTGAGTACTCCTATCACATTCAAACACTGTGAAGGCTGTTTTTTATTTCCTCACAGCTTTAAACGTGAGTTTTATGACAGAATGAGTAGTTTTTAAGATGATATTCTATGTTTGATATATTATTTTTCATTGGAGAAATATAAGTCAAAAACCTAGTTTTTGTTTAAAAATAAACAAATGCATGTATGGCATTTTCCTGCACTAAATTACCATTATTCAGTGACTTAATATTATTTGTTAGAAGTAGATGAGGTGTTAGCATATATTTTATCTGGAATTATTGTGAAGTTCTAAGAAATCATTAAAAATTTAAGGAAATTGGGGCCTCCCGGTGGCGCAGCGGTTGAGCACTGGGTTGCGAAGCTGCCCGCGGCCTCCGCGGCGCTGGTTTGATCCCCGGCTGCTCCCCGGCCACCAGAGGAGGGTCCCACATGGCGCGCAGACCTCTCCTGCCGCCCGCTGCTCCCCTCAGCAGTGTACTTCGGTCCTTCTGCCTGCTCTGCTCCCCGCTCTGGCTCTGGTGAATTCTCTCACCCTCCCGCGCTTCTGACTGTACCCAGTGCATGTATAAACAAAACAAGCAAACAAACAAATAAATAAATTAAAAAAAAAAAAAAAAAAAAAAAATTTAAGGAAATTTTTTGTACTTTGAAAAATATTACATAAAACCGTGCCCTTACTCAAATTGTGAATAATTTGAGAACAAGGCACAAAAATTCTGATTTAACTTAAGGTCTTATTTAAACTGACAATTGTTTTAATAGCTAAGATAGAAAAGCACACAATGATAGGGATAACTTATAGGATAACAGTATTGGTTCAACCTTCCAGAAAGATCCTAAAACTGTCAGACAGTGATGGTCTCCTCAGTGGTGTAAACAATTATATCAAATCACATAGTATAATTTAGTAAATATTCTCTCTATCCAGTGGATATAGACTTGATCCTGGTTTTGAAACTTACAAAGTATGATCTTTAAAATTTGTTCCATTATCAGCAATTTAAGTTCCTGTTCTACAATGGGAATAAAAACATGTAAGATATAATATCTGCAAAACACCAAATGTTCAATCTGGCTTTTGTAAGCTCTCAATAATATGTCAGTTTTACCACATTTTTATCATTTGTTTATACTAGTTAGAGGATGTAACATAATTTATTAGATAAAAGTCAGTGCATAAAAGTCTCACTGCAATTTTTTTTCAATATATTTGAAATCTTTATGTCTATAATTAATTTTAAATTGGCATTTTATGGAATCTACTTCAGCTTGATTTTTTGCAACTATCAAACTGTTTCTATTATATCTAAGAATATGAGGAATATGTTTACCTTGACAATTAGATGAATTCACTTTATGTATCTATTATGAAAAACAGCAAAATATAAAATAATGTAGAGTTATACCTATATTAAGATTTCCAAAATAAATTGCTCCTTATCAGACTTTAATTCACCCAACACACTTTAAATTCTATTGATTTATCAACCCAAATATGCATGTGTGCTTGTGCTTCTCCACTAGTAGGATTTTGAATATTTTAAGAAATCATTTCACATACTTCACATTTATTCTTGTTTCTCGTCCTGAATTATTCAAATGAAGATTCCAATATTGTCTGTTATTTGATTGTATCTTAATTGCACTTCTGTTGTAGAACATCAGACTTTTGCAATCTTCCACTAAATATGATGGGTTAGGGGAGGCACAGGAGAGTAGCCAAACAGAGCTTCTGTTGCCAGAAAGCAGTGCATCCTCCAGTGGGATCCAGGTCACTCTTATAAGTAAATAATACCTCTGGTCTTCACACACTGCCCTGTCAAGGTGCAAAGTGAATCAAAACAGAAAAAAAAGAGACTTTCTGTCACATTGTCACAGTAGAGGATTGGGTGCTTTGGTGGTGCAGGTAGTGTGGTCTCATACATCTAAAGAGGTGTCAACCTGTAACCCTATGTCATATGCAGTGTTGAAAACTAAAGTTACTTCAAAAAATGATATATACGTATTTTTAAGTAAAGTGTGAATGGGAAATATTTACCCTGGGGCTTATTTGAAGACAACCTATCCCGTCAAAAGCCTTCAGAGGAAATTTTGATCTAATAGTATGTCAATTATATTGTCTATTTTCAAAAGCCTCAAATTGTTGTTGTTTTTCTTTTTTTTTTTTTCCTAAAAGATATTGTGGGACAAAAGGCTTGATTTTCCATGCTGTTAACTAAGTCCTTTTCAATCACAAACACTGAAAATGTAGGTCCAAAGAGTATCTTATATTTTTAAATTCTACTTTTAGGCAAGTTTAATAAATTTTAAATGGCATCCTTCTTTCCCTTATGTCCTTATGTCATGATTACGATGTTGAAAAATTTCTGTCATAATCCCATTAACAATAAACATTTAATGATATTTGTCACTATTTTTAAAAAAGCTGAAATTTCAAGTATGTTGTAATTGTCACAAAGACCACCAATTCCCAAGCTTTTCAATTTCTCTGTCCTACATCTCCATTTTTCTGCCTTCAGTTTTAAAAAAAAATCATTGCAATGTACAGTCACAACTTTTACTTGATTTAAAAGGAAAATATAGCAGCACAAACCTAGGGTATGAAATACCAATTGTCATAAGTACAATATTACCCCAAATATAAGGCACTTAGGTTGTTTCCATAGTTTGACTATTGTGGCTAGTGCAGCAATGGATATAGGAGTGCAAATTTCCCTTCAAGTTAGTGTTTTTGTGTTTGTCAGGTAGGTACCTAGGAGTGGAATTGGTGGATCATATGGTAGATACATTTTTAATCATTTTACAAACGTCCATACTGTTTTTTATGGGGGATGGATCCATCTACATTCCCACCGACCAACGACAGGTGTCCTTTATCTCCACACCCTCTCCAACACTTGTTATTTATAGTCTTTTTTTATATGTGCCATTCTCACAGATGTGAGGTGATTTCTCATTGTGGTTTTGATTTGCATTTCTTTAATATTTATATTCCAACAGTAACTAACATAGGTGAATGCAAATAAATGTTTCTTTTGAAATCAATGAAATCCTAGGCTCCTTACAATACAAATTTACTTACAATTTATATATTACATGAAATTATTTACAAATATTAATATATTTCCTTTATCTATATAAGTACTGTATTTAAATTATATATTGGTGGTCAATTTTCAAAGAGAAAACTGTATATGAATAATTCATTTTGAAAATAATCCAGTATATGATTTCTCCCTTTTATCATTAGATTATGGTAGAACTATCACTGAATCAGTATCAATTACTAAAGTCTTGCTAACATTTCAATAACTACTTGACACATGGAAATATTTATCATTTTATTTTTTCATTACTTTACATTTTATGTCTTCATCAATGTATTTTTTCTTCAACAGTAGTAATAAGCAATGACAATGACAATATATTTAATAAAAGATGATCTCTTCCAAAATATCTGAATTCTGATAGAGGGGAAAAATAGACCTGTAAAAAAAAATAGTAAAAGACACTGATTGTTACCTATGAAAATACCAATTTCTAGCAAATATTAACATAACCCTTGAAAATGTGGCTGTATAACAATTTCTAGATATATATATATATATATATATATAGAGAGAGAGAGAGAGAGAGAGAGAGAGAAGGAGAGAGAGACAGCGAGATTGATAAACAGATAGATGGATAGATAGATAGATAGATAGATAGATAGATAGATAGATAGATAGATCGATTTCCATTCTATTCTCCAGGGATGTGGGATAAATCCAAACGGTAGAGTGGCTTTGTGATTGTTGCATAGAAACCTTGAATCGTTTAGCAATATATTACTCTCCAAATCCAGACTTCTCTGCCTTGTTTTGCCATAATGGAACTAGATCTTATGAACTTCCCCCCCGTGTCAGCACACAAGATGTTAACTTTCACTGTAAAAGGCATGGGGAGATGCTACAGGGAAGGGGTCTTTCTTCCTTGTGCCCTGGTGTTTCCTCTCCATGGGCTGACAAGGTGCAGCTGTTAAGGGCACATACAGTAAGTCCCGCGGTGCTCCCCTGCCAGCAAGCTTGTGTCCTCTGTCCCAATCACAGTCCTGCCCTCTAGCTTTCCCCTGCTGACGCTCTGGCAGGGAGTCTCCTTCTCGCTAGTTCCAGGGGAGGTCCAAGCTCAGTAATGTGCGCCCGCGACTGCAGAAATGCTCTTTTCCAGGATCGACCAGTGAGCGCTCCATGAAGTCATCTGCAGCCACATCCTCTTCAGTGAAGCCTGAAAGTCTTCCTCAGAGAGAGCTGGGACCCAAGTGGTTCCTCTTTCCGGTACTCTCCCTTAGCTCTAAGGTGCACTTTGTAATTTTCTTTTATACCCTTTCCGGAAGCTAGTCCTTACTTGTAGTTATTTTTTTTTATATCAAATTTTCCCTGGCTTCTGTCTTCTCACTTACCAGGACACATCCATCTCCCTCCCTTGGGTTGTTGGATCCTGATTATTAACAACTTCAAAAGCTGGAACAAATCAATTAACTTGAAAATAAGAGTTGGATAATGCACCTTATTGAACAATCACAATAAGTTATTGATCATGATTTATAATTTAGAGGTGATTTATTTTAATAAACAGCAGCTGATTTGGAGACGTGTAATATGTACCTATTTTATATTGTATATGAGCAAGGATTTAAAAATAATACTGCAACACCACGGTTGACACTTCAGAACTTCAATGATTATTGTAAACCCATGTTGATTCATCCTCTGTAACAGATGCACCATTTTGGTTAGTGATATTCTTAATGGGGGAGGATATGCCCCTAAAGGCACAAGGAGATATGGGTTATCTTGAATATTGAAATATGCACAATTCTTGTCTTGCAATGATAATATTGTCAATCTGAAATATAGAATACAATACATAATTAATCTTGGCAA